CGTGTGGGTGTGTTCGTGTTCGTTCGTGTGTTCCTTGGTTCACCTCAGTGTGGTTCCATCCTCGTGTGTCCACCTCGTGTTCCTGGGTGGTCTCTGTGCTGGGCTGGTCCTCGGTGGCTGGGTGGTCAGTGTTCCTGTGTTCGTTCCTGGTTGTCCACCTCGTGTTCAGTGTGTGGTCCTTGTTGGATTCCATCCGTGTTGGTTTCAGTTCCACCTCAGTGTTCAGTTTGTTCCTGTCCCTCGTGTCCTTCCTCTTCCATTTCCATGTATTGATTCCTGGGTGTTCCTCGTGTTTCAGTTCTATTTGGTTTCAGTTCCACCTCGGTGTGGTTGGGTTTCGTTCCTCACCACCTCGGTGTTGGTTTCGGTCCACGTGTGGTCCCTGGGTTATCCTCAGTGCCGTTCCACCTGGGTTTCAGGTCCATTGTCCACTGGGTTTCGGTGTGGTCAGTTCCGGTGTGATTCCAGTGTGTGGTTCCTGGGTGTGCCTCGGTGGCTGATTCCTCCTGGGTGTTGGTTGGTGCTGGTCCACCTTGTTGTGTTTCGTTCCACCTCCGTGTGCCATTCCTGCCACCTCAGTGACAATTCCCACACAGACACCCCCCACCACCTCAGTGACAATTCCCACACAGACAATTCCCCTATCACCTCAGTGACACCACCACACAGACACCCCCATCACCTCGGTGACAATCCCTGCACACAGACAATTCCCCATCACCTCAGTGATAATTCCCACACAGATAATTCCCACACAGACAATTCCCCATCACCTCAGTGACAATTCCCACACACAGACACTTCCCCATCACATCAGTGACAATTCCCCACACAGACAATTCCCCATCACCTCAGTGACAATTCCCCACACAGACAATTCCCACACACAGACACTCCAGACCCTCACCCACCACAGACACTCCATCACCTCAGTGACCCTCACCTCAGACAATTCCCACATCCACACAGACACCCCCATCACCTCAGTGGACAGTGACAATTCCCCACACAGACACCCCTCCATCACCTCAGTGACAATTCCCACACAGACAATTCCCCATCACCTCAGTGGATAATTCCCACACAGACAATTCCCCATCACCTCACAATGACACACAGACAATTCCCATCACCTCAGTGGCACACAGACAATTCCCCTCCTCACAGACAATTCACCACCACCTCACACCCCAGACACCCCACAGACAATTCCCCATCACCTCAGTGGCACAATTTCCCCACACAGACAATTCACCACCTCACAGACAATTCCCCACACAGACAATTCACCACCTCACAGACAATTACCCACACAGACAATTCACCACACCTCAGTGACAATTCCCCACACAGACAATTCCCCATCACCTCAGTGACAATTCCCCACACACACAGACAAGACTTCCCCATCACCTCAGTGACAACTTCCCCACACAGACAATTCCCCACTCCCCACACTGACAATTCCCCACACAGACAATTCCCCATCACATCAGTGACAATTCCCCACACAGACACCCCCACTCACCTCAGTGGCAATTCCCCACACAGACAATTCCCCATCACCTCAGTGACAATTCCCCACACAGACAATTCCTCCATCACCTCAGTGACAATTCCCCACACAGACAATTCCCCATCACCTCGGTGACAATTCCCCGCACACAGACAATTCCCCACACAGACAATTCCTCACCACCTCAGTGACGATTCCCACACAGACAATTCCCCACCACCTCAGTGACGATTCCCACACAGACAATTCCCCATCACCTCAGTGGCAATTCCCCGCACAGACAATTCCCCATCACCTCGGTATCCCCGCACAGACAATTCCCCACCACCTCAGTGACGATTCCCACACAGACAATTCCCCATCACCTCAGTGACAATTCTAACACAGACAATTCCCCATCACCTCAGTGACAATTCCCCACACAGACAATCCCCCATCACCTCAGTGACAATTCCCCACACAGACAATTCCCCACACAGACAATTCCTCACCACCTCAGTGACGATTCCCACACAGACAATTCCCCACCACCTCAGTGACGATTCCCACACAGACAATTCCCCATCACCTCAGTGGCAATTCCCCGCACAGACAATTCCCCATCACCTCGGTATCCCCGCACAGACAATTCCCCACCACCTCAGTGACGATTCCCACACAGACAATTCCCCGCACTGGCAGTTACCCACACAGACAATTCCCCATCACATCAGTGACAATTCCCCACACAGACAATTCCCCATCACCTCAGTGACAGTTCCCCACACAGACAATTCCCCACACAGACAATTCCCCATCACATCAGTGACAATTCCCCACACAGACAATTCCCCGCACTGGCAGTTACCCACACAGACAATTCCCCATCACATCAGTGACAATTCCCCACACAGACAACTCCCCACACAGACAATTCCCCACACAGACAATTCCCCACACAGACAATTCCTCACACAGACACTTCCCCACACTGGCAGTTACCCACACAGACAGTTCCCCACACAGACAATTCCCCACACAGACACTTCCCCACACAGACAATTCCCCACACAGACAATTCCCCACACAGACAATTCCTCACACAGACACTTCCCCACACTGGCAGTTACCCACACAGGCAATTCCCCATCACCTCAGTGACAGTTACCCACACAGGCAATTCCCCATCACATCAGTGACAATTCCCCACACAGACAATTCCCCACACAGACAATTCCTCACACAGACAATTCCCCACACTGGCAGTTACCCACACAGGCAATTCCCCATCACATCAGTGACAATTCCCCACACAGACAATTCCCCACACAGACAATTCCCCACACAGACAATTCCTCACACAGACAATTCCCCACACTGGCACTTCCTCACACTGGCAGTTACCCACACAGGCAATTCCCCATCACATCAGTGACAATTCCCCACACAGACACTTCCCCATCACCTCAGTGACAATTCACCACACAGACAATTCCCCATCACCTCAGTGACAATTTCCCACACAGACAATTCCCCACCACCTCAGTGGCAATTCACCACACAGACAATTCCCCATCACATCAGTGACAATTTCCCACACAGACAATTCCCATCACCTAAGTGACAATTCACCACACAAACAATTCCCCATCACCTCAGTGACAATTCTAACACAGGCAATTCCCCATCACCTCAGTGACAATTCCCCACACAGACAATTCCCCATCACCTCAGTGACAATTCACCACACAGACAATTCCCGCCCGCCCACTTCACAGCAAGTTAGGAGGCGTGAACTTTACGCAATCTGTGGCGACCATATCGCACACAGTTTGTGATCAAAGCGGGCCGGAAATTGACACGCTTTGATACGCACAGCCCGCAGTGTTTGCGAGTAGGTTGCGGGATGTTCACGACTGGTTCACGCAAGTGGCACGAAGATCATGCGTACCAGATTTTTTGAACATTTCAAAAGTTTATTTGAGGTACTGGTACGCAGCGCCGCACAGTTTACGCACACTTCACAACACTTTACGCCGAATATACTCATTGCCACGCAAAATTGCGTACCAGAGCGGGGACAAGATTCGTGCAAGTCTCAGGGTGGCTTTAAGCATATCGAAACATACAACTCTGACATTAAATAACAGCAATCTATAAACTATATTTCTGATTTGTTGCACCAATTAGTTTTACTTTTCTTTCGAATGTAGATCGTTGTCTTTCAGTTTAATGAGTTCATTGTCAGATTGATTAACTTGAAATTCACTTGGAATGGCAAATCTAATGCACTGATTAGTTAATCCCATCTCCTATCACAAGTGAATATCCCTACTGCACAGATTAGTTAATCCCATCGCCCCTAACAAGTGAATACTCTAATGCACAGATTAGTAAATCCCATCTCCCCTAACAAGTGAATACCCCTACTGCACAGATTAGTTAATCCCATCTCCCCTAACAAGTGAATACACAAAACAGGTGTGGGGAAATGTCATAATCATCACTCGTTTATTACTCAAAATAATCCACCATCGGTGGTACATGAGTATAACAAAGGAGTACATACAATATGTTCATCAAGATGACTAAATGATACATCAATGAAAGTGTTCACAAACAATCTTAATGAACTTGGATACTTGGTAGATATTTTACTTGAAAAAAGTTGACGGAACTTTGACAAATCGGGCCAGGAACTATAAAAAGGTTCTTTTAACAACGATTTACGGGTGTCTGCAAAATACTTACATTTAAACAAATAGTGAAACTCATCTCCAATCAAATGTGAATCACATGAGTTCCACAATCTGTGTTCTTTTGGGGTATTTTGCCATCTCCGAGGTTCTATGGGAAGTTTATGGTTGCATGTTCTAAATTTGAGGATCGGTTTAGAAATATCATCTGAGAGAAGTAGGTATTGTACAAATCTGGGAGAGCGCTTCAGAACTTTATAATATATTCCTTTAGAGGAATTCTGCATATCGCTAGTCCATGATTGCAAAAAATGGTCTTTTAAAATTAATTCAAAATTTGAATTCGATTATAGATGAGGGTTGACAAAAACATCAGGCAATCCGCACTGACAGAGGTGGGGAAAAGTCCTGTGGGGAATTGTCCTAGTGGGGAATTGTCCTGATGGGGAAATTCCATACACTCGTTTGAAACCCCTTGTTTTGAAAACCTTAATTGATCAAAATGTCGGTAAGATTATTCTTAATGTCACTGGCACATTGTTGCGTGCATCGGGTCGTCAGGCTCGCTGACTTGGTTGACACATGTCATCGTTTCTCAATTAAGTAAGCCAAAACTAATGCTGTTGATCACTGGATTGTATGGTCCCGAATCGATTATTTACAGACCGCCGCCATATAGTGCTGAGTCCAAGACGCGAGCAAACAAACAAACAGTCCGTGTGTAGTATTGCGATACAGAGAAATCTCAGCCAAGTGCGTTTTGATATAAAATATAACTCCTGTGAAAGACGGATCTCGATTTATTGCATCTAGTTATGTTTAGTTTCATTTCGTATATAAATCGTTGTGTTCTTTAGTCTCCATTCTGTGGCATTCTTGTAATACTCTTCTAGTGTCTCTCCAGGATACACTGCCCTTTTCCTGTCTCTGGGGATTTGGAATTCCCGTGTCTTGAATAAGTTCTTCAACATTTTATAGTTGACTGTCCTACCAAAAACAGCAATCCGGTAAAGGAACATGTCCAGCACTCTCATCAGCTTGTGGTTGACATAGTGGAAGCTTATTGTAAGCTGAGAGCAGCACTCGGGAAGCTGTGTGGAGAATAGAAAACATAATGAGTGAGTGAGTTTAGTTTTACGCCGCACTCAGCAATATTCCAGCTATATGGCGGCAGTCTGTGAATAATCGAGTCTGGACCAGACAATCCACTGATCAACAGTGAGTGAGTGAGTTTAGTTTTACGCCGCACCCAGCAATATTCCAGCTATATGGCGGCGGTCTGTAAATAATCTGTCTGGACCAGACCATCCTGTGATCAACAGCATGGGCATCGATCTGCGCAATGGGGAACCGATGACATGTGTCAACCAAGTCAGCGAGCCTGACCACCCGATCACGTTTGTCGCCTCTTACGACGAGCACTGGTTGCTGAAGATCAATTTTAATCCGGATCTTCATCAAAGATGCCAGTCTGAATTCCATTTCAGTCGCCTTCAAATTTTAGACTCCCTGACGCTGATTTCCTATAAAGGGATTGCCAGATCTTCATACGGCAGGATATCTTATCAAAATAGAATTACACTCCCGTTTTAATGAGAATAAAGACATTGGCTACATGATTGTAAGAAAGACCAATTATGCGTATACTAGAGCAATTCGATGAACGCTGTAGATATGACTGGTTGTATGAAATATATAGATAATCTCACCCAAATGTCTACTGATATCAATTATATCAACACGAGTTGATAAAGTTACAAATATACTATCCCAAAAAGAAACGCATAGGCATTTTGTATTTATCAAAAATCTATTAATTTCCTTTTGCGTTCAAACAATCGTCAAAATATGTACCAAAAGTGTTCATAACATGGTTTTACACAATTGTGCAAGTCAAAAATCGATTTTACCCGAAAATGTTGATTTTGATGAGATTTCTTACAAGGATTAAAAGGGCATCGCAACAACGCAACAGAAAGCACCTTGAAGTTGAAATTGTGCAGCAAAGAGCATACCCTGTCTGGCTATAAAAATCCAGATTACTTTCGGAAATCGACATCGTTTTGAAGCAGATTCAAGGTCAAATCACTACGCCACGTCTTGACGCTGCGACTCGGAACATCGCCAATGAAAGAATGCAAGCTGGAAGTTATCAATCTTTTGTTGTCAGGCGTCTGAATGTTAGTCTAGCAATATAACACGGCCTGCAGCTCGTTACAACCAAACAGGTATAACAAATGACCGTTCCCGTACAGGCAGACCTCGAGTCACCCAAGATCGGTGCATCCGGGTACTACATTTACGTGATCGTACTGTCTCGGGTGAGAGCACAGCAGCTAGGGTGCCTGGACTTCGGAGAATATCCGGTCAAACGGTACGGAACAGGTTGAGAGAGATTGGACTGAGAGCCAGGAGACCCGACGTCGGGACCGTGCTACGTCGTCGCCATCGCGTTCAAGGTCTCCGTTAACTAAAATTATCCACATGGTTATAAAGACATGACCTTATTCTAAACTGATGTAAAAAAATATGCACTAAAGTCTATTTGTGGACGAGTTATGCATGTTTGAAAATATAATATTTTCGCAACGGATTTCTGGCCTATGCGATATATCATGCTTAAGACAGTGGAACGTGGTCAGTTAGTCTGTAATATTTCCACTTTCCAATAACATATATATATAACGTTAAAAAGGTTTGTGAAAATGTGTCCATTTTTCTCGATGTAAATACACATGCATCTTTTTCCTAGGGTCGTGTCTCAAATCTGACTCGTATTTTTTCCTTCAAATGATCGTCTCACTTCGCAGGAGTTGTATATTTTATCTGCGATTTCGGTTATTGTCTCGAAAAAAAATCGAATATAAATACTACCAGGAGATGAGGGTTTTAAATAGAGAATCTCAATCATGTGTCTGTTGATATCAATTATATCAACACGAGTTGATAAAGTTACAAATATATTTGTACTGTTATTTTTACCTTTATCAACGAGTGTTGACATAATTGATATCAGTAGACACGAGGGTTAGATTTTATTTATCATTAAAAATCATTCTTCATTAGTTTTCAATGAAAAATGTACCTCTCTCAACACCGTACAACTATTAGACTTGCAGTGCAGTGATGTCATTGCATTGTGACGTCGTCAACTCGATGACTCATAGCATTGTCAGGGCATTGTACAAAATCTACTCTCAAAACGATATCTCCTAGGAGATATCATATGATATCACACGAGCGATATCTCCTGTGAAACACAGTTTTGGAAGATACATATTGGGGAAGACCAGGTTAGAAATGGTCTTCAGCAACTATGCCTGTCGTAAGATGCGATTAACGGGATCGGGTGGTCCAATATTACACTTTCTCCACTATAATGCAATTCTAACCAGGATGTTCGTTTGAATTCTAGATAACGCGGTGATGTTTCTGGAATATTGCTAAAACGGCATAAAACTAGACTCACTCACCCACTCGTTTATCTCCAGTTATGCTTACCGTTTTATATTTGATAGCACTAAAGCTCGTCAGAAAATTACTTTCTCCTGGGAGGAACGCTTCTGGACTGGCAGCATGGAAGGACGATCTGTTAAACCTGTCCACCGAGAGGTAAGTGGACACAGAAGCTTTATACAAACACCGGCCAGTCTCAATGTCCTCGCTTCCTCCGGCTTGTCTACATCTACCAGGAACTCTGTAACCCTGCTCGACCAATCGCCGGAGAGCTGCTCTACTCAACACGTAGCCTGCACCACCACCCATGTAGCCATTTGGCGAAAAATGAACAAAATGGTCCCCAACGTAGACAGGCTTACTCGAATTTAAGTGGGCCAGGAAGAACTTGAGGTTTTCAACGATCACATACGAATCATCGTCAGCTTTGAGAAACCAGTCGTATTGTTCAAGATATGTGTTGTACATGTGCGTGAAGGTTTGCACGATCTTCTCTGTCAGAGTGTCATGGTGGTCACGAATGTCCAGTCCCAGGATGTCGGGTCCTGTTTTGTTGGTGGTCATCACGTACAGAATCTTGTCACATCTCCTGCCCCACGTTGCGTTGACGGCCTTCAGTTTTGTGTCCATGTAGACTTCCCTCGTGGTGATGAAGCAGGCAAGCCGGACCTTCCTTGAAACAGCAGCTGCCAGGGGTTGTCAACCACCACTGAAAGATGTGCAAAAGCGAGGGTAGTGATTCGTTTCGGTTTAAGCATATTTTCATTCATGAAAGAATCTGGTTTGGTAAACAAACAAAGCTTTGCTTTTGTGAATGCCTCACCAGTACAAATATAATACAAATAGAACACACAAGAGCTAGACAAAAGAGATACAATGAAATAGACAAAATGAAATTATCTAAAATCGTAACATCGTCTGTGCATTGAAAATTCTAATGAACAGCCCGCTTGCAGTTACGTTTCATTATTTTGTTAAGGTAATTGTTATGTATTATTTGGTTTAGACTGTTTTATAGAATCGTTTAGTCTTGCAAATGAATTGGTGGAGGGACTCTATAATATTCTTATTTTCATTATTGGTAGTTGGCGGTGTTCGTATAACACAGTTTGGATTCGGTTTTGTCTGTTTGTTGTTAAAGCCACACTCAGTAATTTTTATGGTATACGGCGGCGTTGGTATGTAAATAATCGAGTCTGGACCAGACAATCCAGTGACCAACATCATGATCATTGCTATACGCAATTGGATACGATGACATGTGTTAACCAAATCAGTGAACCTGACCACCCGATCCCGTTTTTGCTTCTAACATCAAGCATGGGTTGCTGATAGTGCTGTAACGATGCATCGAATAATAGATGGATTGCAATTGTTCAGTCTGCGATAGCAATTAATCGATAGTAGAAACGAAAACCTATTGATGCAATGACAGCATGTGTGACTATCGATAGTTTAGTAATTGACATCCGTTGATAAATATTCGGCGCAAAATACAGGAAGTATCAGATTTGTTCCATTTGATTTAGAGTTATCCGCCCCTGTTACTTCTTAAATAAACATGGCGACAAACACGGCATGCGACTCGGAGTTTGAAATTGTGAATAACAATAAGTTTGTGTTTTTACTGTTTCAAGTTTCTTGTCAGTTATTAAAAGCGACGGAAACTACTCAGCTTGTTTTTATTTCATGTAAACTATATTTGGGAAATGACTTCCAATGAGACAATTCAAGGAGAAAAAACCCCTACTGTAATAGTATGACAATAGTTGGTCGCAACAGACTATCTCTATCGCAATAGTAGTTTCCTCCTCAATAGTCCCCCGAGGTTGCTGAATACCAGTTCTAACCCGAATCTTCACGGTTCAGCATAAATACAACCACACCACTTGGCTCATAATAATCTGATAATTTGCAAGACAATCCAGGGTTAAAACTATACGTGAGTGATACGCCGCTTTTAGCAATATCACGGCGGGGGACGCCAGAAATGGGCTTCACACATTGTACCCATGCGGGGAATCGAACCCAGGTCTTCGACGTGACTTTAACCACTAGGCTACTCCACAGTCACAACATTATATGTGAGAAATGATCAATACATTCAGGGTACGCTGACATGCTATAATACAAAGCAACATAGTCTAATGACTTGGAACTTACACGCGTAGTTTATCAGATTGCAGTTGTAACCCAGATGTTTGAAGTGGTGGTGTTATCAGGCACGGAACCCTTCTCTTTTAAATGCTATAAATCTAAGGAATGGAAATTGGGAGCCAGAACGGTTTCGGTGTTTGAATACATTCAATGTGAAAATTCTAACCTTCACGGGTATTTATGGTACTTACAATACAAATTCCATCCTAACCAGATCTAACTGCCGCCGGCCTACTGGGGGCGTTGTACCCAGTTTTCACCTCCCCTCGCGCGTTCGTACTCCCCTCATGAGTACAACATGTGAAGCCCATTTCTGGTGTCCCCCGCCGCGATATTGCTGGAATATTGCTACAAGCGGCGTAAAACTACACTCACTCACGCACTCACTCACTCACTCACTCACTTTACTCACTCACTCACTCACTCACTCACTCACTCACTCACTCACTCACTCACTCACTTTACTCACTCACTCACTCACTCGTGAAACCATCGGTTGGTAGTTCATCATCTCCCTTCAGGAAAAGGTCCAGGCCATTTTCTGTCAAGTGAATACTGCCAGTGTCTTCATCAGAGCGTCTCCATCCAAATGTGGATGATTTATCAAAGAACCCTTCCGAAGGAGTGACTCTTCTCACAATCCCAAACCTTTCTGAAATTATACAGTATCGGAGATAATAACCGATAGTTTTGTAATGCTCTCTTTGGGTCTTTAATATATATTTGATTGGGTTGTGATGGGGATTTGGTTTAGTTGTTTGTTTTTGTTGTTGTTATTATTCCACTCAACAATATTCCAGTTATTTCTCACCTCACTTCGACTCACCTTGTGACAACAGAACACAGATCAGAACGACCACGTTCAAAACAAGCAGAGAAATAAATGCTCTTTGGGTCCTGGGCATGATTGCAGCTACTGCAAGCAAAATTTAAAAACACACTGGAAAAACAAAAGTGGCACCAAACGCACTCTAACTTTACAAATATAATTTTCACAGCCACTTAAAAACGACTGCTTTCAATCTACACTTCTTTTATAATATATGTTCATTCAAAAACAGTTTTTCAATAAATAGAGTTGGAATCAGCTGTGGTAGATATGTGCTCTGACAACATATGAGTTGTGGAGGTGGGGGAACCTTGCACACCTGATGGAAGTTAACACGCTGACGTGTCCAGCGAACTCGTGAACCTCTGAACTACCCTTACAGGCCATGGGTAGCCTCGAATGAGTCTTTCCAAAGACACGTGAAGATCCGGGTTAGAATTGGTCTTCAGTTATCCATGTTTGTCGTAAGAGGCGACTGACGGGATAGGATGCTGAGGCTCGCTGACGTGGTTGTATGTATCCCAATTGATGTCGTCGTATTCCAATTGCGTACATTGATGCTCACGCTGTTAACCACTGGATTGTCTGGTCAAGACTCGAATGTTTACAGACCGACGCCATATGGCTGGAATATTGATGAGTGCGGCGTAAAACTAGACTCACTATCTATCCGTCTGTCTGTCTGTCTGTCTGTCTACAAGAGAAGTTTTTTATGAACATATTTTATCTATGTTTAAAGAGAAGTATTTGTAGAACACAAACATCTATATTATATGAGTACTGCAGTGTTTATAGAACATAAACGTGTGTGCTACAGATAACAAACACACTTGTACTATTAGAGAAGTATAAGTAGAACACAAACATCTATATTATAGGAGTACTGCAGTGTTTATAGAACATAAACGTGTGTGCTACAGATAACAAACACACTTGTACTATTAGAGAAGTATAAGTAGAACACAAACATCTATATTATAGGAGTACTGCAGTGTTTATAGAACATAAACATGTGTGCTACAGATAACAAACACACTTGTACTATTAGAGAAGTATAAGTAGAACACAAACATCTATATTATAGGAGTACTGCAGTGTTTATAGAACATAAACATGTGTGCTACAGATAACAAACACACTTGTACTATTAGAGAAGTATAAGTAGAACACAAACATCTATATTATAGGAGTACTGCAGTGTTTATAGAACATAAACATGTGTGCTACAGATAACAAACACACTTGTACTATTAGAGAAGTATAAGTAGAACACAAACATCTATATTATAGGAGTACTGCAGTGTTTATAGAACATAAACGTGTGTGCTACAGATAACAAACACACTTGTACTATTAGAGAAGTATTTGTAGAACACAAACATCTATATTATAGGAGTACTGCAGTGTTTATAGAACATAAACGTGTGTGCTACAGATAACAAACACACTTGTACTATTAGAGAAGTATAAGTAGAACACAAACATCTATATTATATGAGTACTGCAGTGTTTATAGAACATAAACGTGTGTGCTACAGATAACAAAAACACTTGTACTATTAGAGAAGTGTTTGTCGAACACAAACAACTGCATTATAAGGGTAGTGTTGATAGAACATAAACGTTTGTACTATAAGGGTAGTGTTTATAGAATATAAATATCTATATTATAAGAGTAGTGTTTATAGAACAGAAATGTCTATATTATAAGAGAAGTGTTTATTGAGCATACATATCTGTACTATAAGGGGCGGTGGGGTAGCCTAGTGGTTAAAGCGTTCGCTCGTCACGCCGAAGACCCGGGTTCGATTCCCCACATGGGTACAATGTGTGAAGCCCATTTCTGGTGTTCCCCGCCGTGATATTGCTGGAATATTGCTGGAATATTGCTGGAATGTTGCTAAAAGCGGCGTAAAACCATACTCAGACACTCACTGCTATGTGTAACGCATGGTCGACGCCACAGGTAGTGAGTGAGTTAGTGAGTGAGTTAGTGAGTGAGTATGGTTTATGCCGCTTGCAGCAATATTCCAGCAATAACAATAACTTGTAGCAATAATTTGGTTGTTGTTTTACGCCGCACTCATCAATATTCCAGCTATCTGGTGGCGGTCTGTAAATATTGGTGTCTGGACCAGACAATCCAGTGATCAACATCATCAGCATCGATCTACGTAATTGGGATACGATGACATATGCCAACCAAGTCAGCTAGCCTGACAACCCGATGCGGTTAGTCGCCTCTTACGACAAGCATGATGGCCACATGCAGGCGAGCCATCTATGGACGTCATCAACCTGCCACCATCGGCCGGTCGTTAAAACTCTCCGCAGGTTGACGCAGACCATAACAAGGCAATCAATCCACAATATCCCGGAGTATTTTAACGGAGTTTAATTAACCTAAAGGATTGTCTTATCTTAGCTGATATATCTACCCCCACCAGCCCGACCCCAACCACCGTCTACGACACCCGTCCTGGGTTTGCTTTTGAGACGACCCCTCCTACCTCCATGGTAGCTAAATCCTTAATAGTTTCAGTATTAAAGTTAGCATTTCACTACCATTATGAACTATGAAGGTAAGTCTAATTACAAAATGAATATTTAAAAAGTGTCCTTTGTAATACAATATCATCGCACT